CTGAGGTTTCTCAAATACCACCAGAAGCACGTACAGTGCCTTTGGATTTGTCACAAAAGCGTGGGCCTCAGCTGAGTGTCTGACTTATCTTGTCCGTAATGTTTTCGGCTTCATGGCAAGCATGGTCATGTTTCTAAAGTCAACGGTCTGTCAGGGGTGGCCTTCTGTTGGTCGATTTGCCACAAGAGTTGAGCTCAGCCCCTGCTTGATCTCTGCATGTCTGCTGAAATCTAGCTAATTCTCACACAGCCTCCAAACACCTTCAAACGACCATAGAACAACACACAGACCCCTCAGAAAGGGGTTTTGGTGCTTTGAAAGTGGAAGATGCGCTTGCGCTGAGCTGAAACCTCTTGAAATTCCCGAGGTCCCCAAAGCCTTCAAAACACGCAGCCTCCACGCGGGAAACCAAAAGTCGTTCTCATCAACACGGTCATCGTCAACATCATCGCCACCATCTTCATGTCCATTTTCTTTCGGATGTGAATGTCCCAAGCACTTGTTACTGGGCTTCTCCTGAGCTATCATTTTCTGAAGCTCCAAGGTTAATGCTCGGCCGTCTACATCAGAGCGGCCTTTTTGAACAGCTCCTGTCTGCGGAGCTGGCACAGAGGCAGGGGTGGCGGCGGCAGCAGCAGAGTAGCAGTGGCAACAGCCTATGGGGATGTTAAGCATGTGGGTTGCGCCTTTGCGTGACCCTGCTTAGAACTCCTCGACCGCGCATTATCGTGCATTAGTCGGCTTTCCAGGGAGCAGCTGCCATTCCAACACATGCCATCCAGGATCAGGTTGGCGCTAACATCTGATGTCCATTGGGCAGAACTATGCAGTCCAATACTAAGGGGTTACCTCAAACATGGTATCTATCCGAGCAGTACATTCGGGGTGGTATTGCAGTAGCCATCTGTCTCTGATCTTGAACACCCTCTGCCCCCTGATACTTAACATAGCTCCGAGCATATAAGGCATATCAGGTCCCTTTATAGCAAACATTGAACATTTGGGATAGGGGAGCGTTTCATTCAGCAGCTGGGTAGTCCACTTTTCACTTTTATCAGAAATAAAGAGAAGTGCAAATTCTTATGGCCTACGGAACTCAGCAATCGGGGCTAGTATCAGGGGGAAGGGAATAGGAACCCTAAGCCTTATAATCGTTGTTGGAGGAGTCAGTAGTTTTGTAAGCCCCCAGGTATGGTTGTAGCCCGCAATGGTAACTGGGTTCTGCTTGCCTTGGGCCTGAAAGGATCACCTGACCGGAAAACCAAGTCTTAGCCCAGAAACCTGCCATCTTTCGTTCTAGATATTTGCCTGATATCCCACAGTTAGGTATATGTAAGCCCTTTTATAAGTCTTGTTGTATTTGGGGGTCTGTAGTTGGGTCCCCCTATTTTGGGAAACTACCATTTATGTCCAAAGCTGGGGATCCAAAAAGGTTAAGCCCTAAAGCCACTAAAGCCCAAAACCTCAACAAGGACTCAGTTTAGAGTTCAGGGAAACCCTAGGTTCGTAAACCATGAACCCAGTCTTATGGACACCCTCAGATATCTTTGCTGCATTTCGCGGTCGCACCTTGAGATCATGTGCGGAGCCCCAGGCATAAGCTGTCCGGAGTATTAGTGAGCCCGGAATTAGGATATAGGATTCAGGGTTTAGGGGCTTAGGCTTACTAACCCCTAAAACAAAAACCCACCCCCCTAAACCCTAAACCCTAAACCCCCACCCACCTAAAAGGGGCTGTACAGGGGTCTATAGGAATGGAATTAGAGATTTTGGAATTTTGCGTCCTTCTGCCTGGCCAGAGGAATCGGCTGGTAGAGTTCCCTTAACTTTATGGGTTTAGGCTTTTGGGTAGAGTTCCCTCAATTTTGGTAATCGTTTGTTGCCGTGCTGCTGACACCCCGCCCTCATAAAAAACGGCCCTGCAAGGATCATAGATGCGTGCACGGGTTCAGTTTCGTAGGTCTTTCCCGCCCGCGTCCAACACGACGTCTGTCCTATCTGGACGTAGACATAGACCTTCGGAACCCACTTTCCAGCATGCTGTCCTCCCTTTTAACAGGTTCTGGCAAGTCAAAATGTTGAAGCTGGAGGGTTAGAGCGGGCACGTAGATCTTTTGCTAATGCTTCTACATTGCTGGGTTCCATAGCGGATGCTTCATATTTAAAAGACAGTTACAGGTCAAGTAAGGGTACACATGGGCGGTAATGCCAGCTATGACGCACATCGCCAGCCCTGTATGTATCTTGGACGCAAACGGGTCTTTACCGAACAGCATTTTATGAACTAGAAGGATCAAAGGAAGGAAGCAAGGAAGGATGGAGGGAGGTTTACAGACACAACTAACACTAAGCCCACTATGCCCATACACTGTCTATAGGGTCCTGTACCTTGCACGATCCTGAGATGCTCCCAACGTAGTCCTGATAGCCCCTAGTATGGAAGCCTCAATAATAAGGACAAAGATTGTCCACTTCGTAACTCTCCTAAAATGATGTTGCAATATGTCCCGAAAACCAACTCTTGTCTAAAACCAACTCTTGTCTTAGACCATCCATCACACTACGCTGAACCCTCAACCCTAAACCCTAAACAAAACCTTAAATAGTAGCTTCGTTTTCTTTTGCTTTATCCCAATATACCCTTTACATATCCCTTATATATTCCTTATATATACATATACAGATATATATATACACCCGAAGCCTATGCATGCTGAACGTTACATCAACCCCGGAAAAACAACAGCCAACCATGCGAAGTGGTCAAGCAGCATGAATTTGCAGACGTTTGGGTCCAGGTGAAGCCTATTCTCTTCAAAGCCCTAAACATTTAAACCCCTAAACCCATTAATATATAATAGTAGCTTCCATGTTCTTATCCATTATTCCCATATAATCCCTATATAGCCCCTATATAACCCTTATATAACTCCTAAGCTGTACCTCTTCCATGGCCTCTGCGAAGAGCCAAGCCCGACCCAAGGCCCTCGAGTCCTCAAGGGACCTTCGAGGCTGCTTGGGGGGGAAATGAAAGGAAGAGTACACCAATATCAAATGTAGATGAACATGGAAAATCAACGGACATATAGGGTCAAGCGTTTAAGACTCAGGAGTTCGGGGATTAGGATTTTGAGTGGTGGGGCGCAGGATTGTATAGGGACATTCTATGGAAAATCCGATGGGACATGAAATGGGGGAACACCATTTAGGGACTTGGGTTTGGAGGTTTAGGTTTGGGAGTTTGGGATTTGGGGTTCAGGGTGAAGTGCGCAGGGTGAAAGGGTAGTTGGAGGCCTGTGGGCTTCAGCTCTTGATATCTGGGGCTATAAGCACTTTCCGTATTCTATCAAAAACTTTATTATCACTAGCCGTAAAGCAAACCTTTGGTAACTCATGGTAACTGGGGCTGTAGCCCTGGTCATAGTCCTCGCGAAGTCCAACGCGTTTAAGGGTTTAGGGTTTAGGGCTTTTGTCCCTTTCAAGGGTCTTGCTTGTTCTTGTGCTGTTCAATCGCTGGAGGCGACCGCAGGGCATTCGATTCCAGAAGTGCACCAGCCGGAACTCTTGGTTGACGCCGAGTGGGCGGCGCATTATTTCACAGCTGCGCCTGAAGGGAGACGGGACGGGCTCCAGATTTATCCTTGAGACCACCCCTTGCCAAACGATGGGGAGCAGGTGGAACTAAAACCCTAGACCCTAAACCCTAAACCCTGCAGTTAGAGGTCGAAGGGCAGTGACGAAGTTCAAGGGGGTGTCCTGAAATTTGCTTTTGCTTATCATAACCCTGCAAACAAGCGGTAGTTTCCCTAAATAGAGAGACCCAATATAGACCCCAAAATACGATAATCCTTATTGTTGGGACCCCCCAAAAAGTACCGCTAGTTTTGGGAGACCCCGAAACAGCTAAGATCAATCTTTGCGAGGGTCAGGCCAGATTTTGGTTCCCAAAACCAATCCACCCTAATATGAGCTGTAGTCTAAATTCCTGAAAGGGGGCTATACAGGGGATTGTATAGGGGAGTATTATAGGGGTTATGAAGGGAGATGCTGGGAGTTTAGACTATAAGTCGTATAAGCCCAGTTTCCATTTCAGGTTTCCATTTTCTTTTCCATTAGCAGGTAATATCCCTAAACCCTAACCCTTTTAATCCTAAACCCTAAACCGCATAGGTTTAGGGGTTCAGAACTCAGGTTTTGGGCAAGCAGGATTAGGAAACTGCTTCAGCCCCAACCCGGCCATCAATCAGTGCCCGGGAACCTTTGTACGAGCTTATGTAGAGTCAAGTACTGCATGGATTAAATGGGGTTATAGTGGAAATGTAGGGTTTTCAGGGGACATGCCAATGCCACACCAAGCGCGCTAGAAGACTTGATTCCTGGACTTGTCGCATGTTAGAGACGCATCCTCCATCCTCCAACTTCTTAAATAGCTACCATCAAGACTAAACTGTCTCTTGCAGATTTGTTGTTTCAGTCCTTCAAGGTCCAGAAATCTTAAACGGTCCGGTGTTTCGTGGCTTTGCAGGAGGAGTGGGGTAGTGGACATGGGGTTTAGGGTTTTGGGGGTCATATGTAGACTACTGCACGGGGATGCTCTCCCCAATCTCCATTAAGCAACCTAGTAGTCTTCGCTAGAGCAAGCTAGTTCTATAAAGGTTTTCTTTTCCGTCCATTCCCGTACCCTTCCTTGATTACTCGCCAACCCTGAACCCCAACCCCTGTCAGTTGCTAAACCATCACCGCAACAGCCCCTAAACCCTAAGCGATCGGCCCTAAACTCTAAACCCTATCTGCTAGCTTCCATACGTTGCAGGGACCCAATGTAGACCCCCAAATACGATAATCATTATTATGGGGACGTCCAAAAGGGATCCCTAATTTGAAGAAACCCTAGGCCCCATGATCCTTAAACCCTAATCCCCATATATCCCTATGTACCCCCACATAATCCCCTATCCTTATATACCCCTCTATATATCCCTATATACCTGCTTTGGCAGGTTACGAATCTCAGCGCTAACCCAATCGCCATCTCGGGGCCCAAGCTCGGAAAAGGCGAGCATGCCACCCTGAGGCTGGGAATTGCCTACCTTTGGAAAATGGAATCTACCATAGGGTTTAGGGTTTAGGAAGATTTGAAAAATGGAAACTACTATAGGGTTATATAGGCACCACTGCAAGGATCCCAGGGCTGGGTTTAGGGTTTAGGTTCTTGGGAATGGGTTATATATGGTATTATTACAATGCGTTATACAGGGTTTAGGGTGCGAATGAAGGAATGGAAAAGGAAATGCAAACGACAAAATGGACTTTCAACAGGGTCTTAGGGCTGTTAGGGTGTTTAGGGTTTGGGGAATTCTGGTGTTTAGGTTTTGAGGTTCGGGGTTTTATGTTAAGGGCTTGGAGTGTTGGGCTTTTAGCGTTTAGAGGTGGGGGTTTCTCGAACTCGTCTGTCCCAGGTTCAGCGATAGTACATATCGAAATATGGGAGCGCATAGGGTTGAGGGTGTCGCGGGAACCCTTAGCCTTTTTTGTTTGGTTCCCTGTTCATTTTTGACGCAGCGGCGTGATCCTAGCTTATGTGTTTACCAAATAAGGGACTTAAAAGTTTAGGACGGACTTGAAAGCAGGGTCGCCAGTAGGAAACCAGTGGAATCCCTTGCCCAGCTCCCTCATACTAGGTATTCCCAATATATTCCAGGATGATTTTGACTTTTTGCCAGTAGGAAACGTAACAAGCAGATATGGCCGCGGATGCTGTGGTGTACATGATGTGGAAGGAGAGAACAAGCCTCAGGCGGCCCCGGAACTGGAAGCCATGGGCAAGGAACAATTCATCAGGAACTTGGAAAGCATTCGTGCACTCCTAGTGGAGCCTGGTCTGATCCTGCGGTTCTCGGCCACCAGACCCTTGACAGCGGACATGTCAGGACACTCGGTGACGCTGTTACTAGAATTGTCTCTTCAGGATCCCAGTTGTCACAGTTGGTACTAGGTGGGTGGGGAGTTTTGATACCCTAAACCCTACTATGGGAAGGGGTTGAACATGAGGATTGATTATCTTGGCGGCATATGAAGGGAGGGGTTTCAATGCCCAGGCGGAAGTACGCAAGCTGAAGCCTTTCGGATTTAGGGGCTGAGGGTTTAGGGTTTAGGGGATGTTTGGGGTTCAGGGCTCATGGTCTGTTAATGCCGGGACATTTGGCCTGAATCATGTGTTGGGGCCCCACTATTAGTCACCACAAGGGATATGTGTAACTGTATTTTGGGCCTTGTATGGTCTTAGTATACCACCATTATTAGTTAGGAGGACCCCCAGCCTGTAATAGTGGTACACTAGGAAAATATGAGGAACTCAATATAATCCTTATTATCCTTTCTGCTCACTATTAGTGGGTGGGGGTCCGCCTAATACATCACCCTTATTAGTGGGTAGGGGCCTAGCCCAACCCAAAACCCTCAGCTCTTTGTAGCCCTTGCAGGATGTTCATCCTCGGCGGCTTAGCATTGGAAAAGCCTTGAGTTTCCCAAACTTCATAGAAATCCTGGTTTAGGGTCTAGGGTTTAGGGTTTAGGGTGGGGCTTAGGTTAATGGGTCGTTCCCTCCATATTACATGGGCTTGGGGGCTGGGGTCAGGTAGAAGCCAGATTGCGAGATCATCAGCATTGCCCACCCCAAGACTCAGGAAGAGGTGAAAGTGGCCCACAGCATCCTCCTTCCGGAGTTCAATTTTTGGCTTGCTTTGTAAAGTTTGATTTTAATTGCTAGGCGCAGCAGTAGAACCCTTTTTCCCTTTTTGTATTTTGGGGTCTCCTTCTAAAAGCTGAACATTGGGAAGAAAGGGTACCCTTATTACTACGAGGAACCTAGATTAGGGTTCAGGGTAGAGATCCAAATCTAATCGGCGCAGCCTGTGAACCTCGCAAAGAAGATGTAAACTTTGCCCATTAACTCGGCAATCTAAAGGACCTCACCCTAAATTGTGGTTTATACTGGGAATAGTACCAAAATGGCCTTAAACCGGGAATTGAAATCATTCTCAATGACCCTGCATTAAGCTTACACCCTACGGCTCTGAAGTCTCAAGCCCCGATGCAGTCTCTCATATTCGTGATATAGCAACGTGTTGTGAACGGCAAGGGCAAGGGACGTGGGACCTAGAAAGGCTTTTTCCGAAACCCTAAATCCTAAACCCTAATCCCTAGACCTGTGCACACCTTGAGCCCTAAACCCTACCGAGCCACAAAAGCAAGGAGAGTGGTCTTGGGCCATTATGTCACCTACTGTTGAGGCCCTGGCATCCCTCGGAACCTGCAAGACCCTACGTAAACCACCCAAACCCTACACCCTATGGCTTAGGATTTAGAGTTTAGGGTTTAGGGTCTATGGCTTAGGATTTAGGGTTTAGGGTTTAGGAATGGAAGGCCTGGTACCTGTATCGATTTCATTGGCACGCACTCCGATGGCTCTGGCCAAACTGTTGTTGGGAGCTCAATGTCTGCGGCTGTCAATCACGACAATAATACTAATAATAATAGCAATACTGTTAACACTCATAGTAGTAATGGCAACAATCGCAGTAATCATCATAATGGTCATGCTTCAACTGCTGAGTTTGTTGGTGTACTTGGATGGTTGGCTAAATTTAGTCGCACACCTATCAGCCCTACTAGCTAGGAAAGCAAGCCCAGTTATCCGCATTGCTACCCTGCTCACTAAGTCCCCTTGACCCTCTAAGACGACCTGTTCCATTGGGTTCCAGAAAGGTGGACGAATTTTGTGACAAGAACACACCTATCATCAGAGCCTGAAGTACTAGTAGGGGTGATATGGAGTTCAACACGGCTTCTGACTTATACAGGGCTGCCAGCCACATGCATCCAAAACTTGAAGACACAGTCCCGGTGTTTGGCGCCCTTGCATACGTCCATCTTCCCGCAACACAGGGTTTAGAGGGCCCTACAAAAAAAGGTCTGTTGTGAGTCTTGGCATCTCCGGAAAGTAGCTCTCATTTTTTCCTTATTATAGACCCCAAGAAACAGCTAAACAATTTGTTGAAGGGTTCCAGGGCAGACAAAGAAACCCAAAGCCAATCAACTCATACATGAGCCCAGTTTCCATTTCATGTTCCCCTTGATTCTCTATTATTCTACCGTCAAACCCTTTATACCTGTAAGTCTTCTGCAGTTTCAATGTTCTTTTCCATTTGGTTCTCCGTTATTGGGCTAATATCCCTAAACCCCAAACCCTACACCCCAAACCCCAAACCTCCTAAACCCTAAACTTTCTCTCCCTAAACCCTAAGCCCTAAATGGCCTGTTCCTTGTTGCGCACCGTTATTCTGGTAACCTTCGAAACTTCGTGAAGCAGTAGAATCGCAAACTAACGGGACCCCAATATAGGCCCCCATACACTACAATCATTTTTATGGAGACCCGCAAACAGATAAGTTTAGGAAACCCTAAACCCTATATGTATATATATATATATCCCCTGTAGAATCCCTTATGCCCCTATACAACCCCTATATGTCCCCTAGATTTATCCCCTATATAATCCCCCCATTTTAGGAAAACCCCAAGTAGTGCGAAGCCCAGGTCTACCTGAAGCTGAAGCTTCAGTCTCGGGACCAACCCAGGCAAGCGGCTTAGGTTCGGGTTTTTTAAGTGTTTCAAGGTGTCTTTTGGTGTTTTAACGTGTTTTTAGCGCTATTAAAGTTTTAAGGGTTTTAGTGTTTTGAGTGGTTTTCAGAGGGGCTTGTGGTTTTAAGGTGTTTTTTAGATGGTTTTTAGTGGTTTTGGGTTGGTGGTTCAGAGTTTGGGGCTTCGGGTTTGAGGCTTAGGGTTGAGGGAGAAGGTCTGGGCAAAGTCTGATGACATTACTTGGCATCACCCAAATCGTTGTTTATTTGGAAAAGTTCAAAAACAGCTGTTTTCAGGCTTCACTACTTGTTCGAAAGGTGAAGCAACGCCAAAAAGACAGAGCTAAGATTGTAAGTTTGCTATGGGAGGGTTCCAAAAACAGGGTACCCAAGTATAGACCCCAAGGTACTATATTCTTCAGTACCCCTCGAGAAAGGATCCCTGGCTTTTGAAAACCCTAATCCTGATAAACTACTATATAGCCTGATTTTTTCCATGTTCTTTTCTATGTGATTCTCATATCGGGGGTCATATCCCTAAATCCTAAGCCCTAAACCCGTATATCCCTTTAGATCCCTATATATGGCTACCCCCTATATAAACACTGTATAGCCCTATATCTCCCTTTGGACCCGTAGATATTCCTATAGCCGCTAGACCCCTTTATGTCCCTGTACCCCCTATATACACCGTGTAGAACCGCTAGGTTCCATATAAGCTCCTGTCTCCAAGCACGGAAGAGGCTCTAACAGGCCCCGGATTGACTCTTACAAGTTAAGTTTAAGGGTTTAGGCTTTAAGGTTTAGGGTTTGGAGTTTTAGGGTTTTGGGGTTTAGGAGTTTAAGTTGGGTACTGCCCCCACTCATTAACGGCTGGATGATTATATATAGCCCTTAATATGACCGCTATGATAGACTGTTAATGGGTGGGGGCAGGACCCAAGGTTTAAGGGTCTCGAGTAGGGTTCATGGGCTTCGCCACGGTTTGAAGGCTGGTACTTAGTACCGGATTGTAAAAAGGTCACATCGGAATTATATAGGGGGTTTTCTAGGGAGTAGCATAGGTAACACTGGAGACTCAAGCGGAAAAGAACATGAACACTGAAATGGACACTGTCGTCATGCAGGAGTGGTATCCTCAAATGGACCTTCCTAAACCCTAAACCTTTACCCTCGGCTAGAGGGAAATGCCCGCTTTAGACTTTGGAGCCTTGAACTTGGATTTCAGGTCCTCCTTGCAGTTCAACATATGGCGGTATTCATAGCGGCCCCAACATAGACACCAAAATGCTGAACTTCCATCATTGGGACCCCTCCTTGTTCGAAACCTACACATTTCCCGCCTATGAGGACCGTTAAAGTTCCAAGGTATCACAAACAGTTGCGGGCGAACATTGAAATCACACCTTCTTCCCTAGAAACTAGACCCCTAAACCCTAAACCCAGTCTTCAAGGAGACTCTTGCATACGCGAGTTTCTCACACTCTGCCCTACATACTGCTTGAGATGGACCCGCAGGATACGTATCCTGATAGTGATTTCAGATCTGTAAGAGCAGCAAATTTGGAGAAGCCGTTTGCAAAATGTAAAGCCTAAATCCTATGTAATCCCTAAGCCTCCCCAAGCCGCAAGCCCTAATCCCTAAACCCTAACCCTAAACCCTACCCCTTAACCCTAAACCCCAAACTCAAAGTTCCTAACCAAACACCAAATCTGAACCAATCGCCTGTTGCTGCTTACAAGGTCCCAGCGCGAATACTCGGGTGAAGCAGGGCACCCATACTTTCAGGGAAACTTTTAGGGTTCGGGGTGTAGGGATTAGGATTTAGGAGTTTCCGGGTTTAGAGTTTAGGGGTTTAGGGGTTTAGGGCTTAGGCTTTAGAGGTTTAGGATTCAAGGTTTAGGGTTTAGTGTACTTGTACAATCATTGAGGTCTGGGACGTACTGGAGTGTTGCTCTGCTTCAGATCCTAAAGTCATGCTCCACATTCCATTTCCAAAGCTAGTTTTCTCCTCGCATACCTGCAAATATTTTCATCCTTACAAAGATTCCCCCAAAAAAGGAATCCTGGGTTTCGGGACATCCCCGGTCAACAAGGACTGCACCCTAAACCGTAGACTTTCAGTGGAAAGGGAGGTCTACAGCCCTGAATCGTCAAGCCCCAAGTCAGCAAGCGCGCGTTTTGAATCTCCACATTTTGGGTGGACATGCTTATTGTTCTTATTGGCATTCTATTGTTCTTATTGGTAGTGCTATTTGGTATTACGGTTACCGTCATTGAGAAAGAAGCCCTTCAGCATTACCCGTATTCTGAAAACCTCACGCCTGCAAGTAGGTAGCTAACCTATGGTACATCCCCAACCCATTGGGGCCACAACTTCCCATTATGACACACTAGTGGGTCCCCTACTTACAGTGCGAGAGATTTCTCCGTCATCATATTATTTAACTACATTAGCTACATTTTCCATGCCGCCTGAAGGGCCCTGGTGGCGATAAAATTGTCAGCCCTAAGCCCTAAACCCAACGTTCCCAAGCCAAGTAGCAAGCAGTCCCTAAAGGTGTTGTGTGGTTTTTCATTGGGTGTTGTCTATTAGGTGGACCCCCCCACCCAGTAATAGTGACTATAAGGGATAATAAGGATTATATTAGGTTCCTATAGTATTCCTATTATACCACTATTACAGGGTGGGGGGTCCTCCTAAGTTGTCTATCATGTCGTCGCAGTCTTGCTGGTGGTTAGTAGGGAATAAGGGAATACATTATCTGGGGATTACATAGGGATTATGTCCCCTAATTCCCGACCAACCACCAGTAAGCTGTTGACAAACATTTACCGGTGGTTTTTGAGAACTCTGAAACCCCCGACTCCGGGACTTCACGCGGTATGGTCAGCAGAGGCTAATATGTAGGGTGCAAAGCTAGCACCGATCCATAGATCCCCATCATCTTGCTGGTGGTTTAAGGTTTAGGGTTTAGGGTTTAGGGTTTAAACCCTAAACCCTGAACCCTCATAAGGAATAGGGAACATAATCCCTTGCTATTCCCAGTAGGTAATAGCAAAGGTCGTCTTACATGATCTTACAAAACAGCGGTCAGACACTTCGAGCCATGCGATGATAATGGTCGACCTGATGCACGCAACGGAAAATCTGTTTACCAAGATCCCTGGGAGATCCCCTTTAAGGGGTCTCAAGAAATGACCAGGAGCTGTATGCGGTATCATATTGGGGGGTTCTACTGTCTAGATCTTCCCAGGAGTCTGTTTAGTTCGGATGCCCGGCCTCTAACGATCGTCAAGCCAGGCATCCGCACATAGCGCGGTAAGTGGCAGCTGGCGGTCCACTGGATCTTCCCCATGGGATTCTCCGCGAGGAAAATGGAATCTGTAGATTAGATAGCACTATATCATACCTGTATAACCTTACAAAATTCCTATATTATAACCCATCCATAACCGTATGAACTAATGGTAACTATATAACCCCTCGAAAATCGCCCACGTCCTGCAAGGCAGATAGCCAGTGGCTGGCAGTGGAGTAAAGCATTCCTTCATGACACCCAAGGGTTTAGGGTTTAGCGGATGAGGGTCTAGAATTTACGCGTTTAGAGGGTTTAGAGGTCTAGGGTTTAGAGCTTAGAGGTTTGGGGGTTCAGGTTTTGAGGCAACGTTTAGGCTTTTCTCGTGTATATGCCAGAAATGCTTGGATGTGCCCTGCATGGACAGCCGAAAGAAGGGGCACTTTCCATTTTGAAGAACCACCATACAACCCTAAAGCCTAATACAACTATCTATCATCCCAGGTTTTGCCAAGCCCAAGTCGTAGAAGGCCTATATGAAGTACAGCCTACACTCCTTGAAGAGGGGTTATGTGGGGGATCATATAGGGTAGTTTTTCGGGAGTGTAGACTATACCTTTTATTAAGGGCTTAGGGTTCAGGGTTTGGGGTATTGGGATAATAGAGAGTCAAATGGAAAGGACAATGTAAAAACGAAATGGAAACAGTGTTTTTAAACAGGGGTGAGGGTTTAAGGCCTCAGGGTACTCTACTTTGAACTGTACAACCCCGGCTCACAGACTCAGTCAGCCAACAGTACGGGCCAAACTTTACATCAAAATCCTCAAGACCAAGCACTGAACTCTAAAATTCCATGCTCTCAAAACCCTCAATCCCAAGTCCTACACATCCTACACCCTAAACCGTAAACCCCAAGCATGACCTTGAAAGCATAAAACCCTAGCCCTACACTTCAACAACTCCTTCAAAGCCGCCCTTAAGCCCTAAACCTTAAACGCAGTCCCTATATAACGCTATAGAACCCCTATGCGACAACCTGTAGATAAGCCCGAGTCGTAAACCGTAAGTAAACTCTAAACCCTAAACCCAAAAGATCCTGAAGCAGTTCGAATTCTCGAGGCTCGAAGCCCCGAGAAGCCTCCAACAGAGCCTCTGCTGGAGGCACAGGGCTTGGATTTTGGCTTTTGCGGTTTAGTGTTTAGGATTTAGGGTTTTGGGGTTTGGGGATATTATTCCCAACGATGGGAGAATAACATGGAGAAGAAAACGGAGAATGAAATGGAAACCACTGTTTGGGGTGTAGGGGTTAGGGAGTTTAGGATTCAGGGTTTAGGGTATGGGGAGTACGGTTCAGGGTTAGGATTCAGAGCGCATGAATTCAGGTTTAGGGCTTAAGGCTTGGTTTATGTAGGGATTCATAGCAGTTATATGTTTTATATAGGGGTTGCATGGGGTTATATGGTGACTAATTACATAGGGTTATGTAGGTACTACAAAGGGATTTTACATGACTATTTACGGTTTGGAGATGGGGGATATTGCCCCGCAGTAATGGAGAACCAAATGGAAGAGACATTGGAAAACAACATGCGATTTGGGGTGGGGTTTTGCGATGTCTAGATTAGATCTTAGGGTTGTGATGTCAAGCTTAGGGTTCACCTGGGAGGGTTTGGGTGGTTTGATGGCTCAGGGATTTTGAGGGTTTCGAGCTTTCGAGCATGAGTTTAGAGTTTTGGGTTTCTGGATGCAGGCTTCTGGGTTTAAGGTTCAGGCTTTGGGGTTGTAAGGTGAGCTGTTTACGATTTGTATAGTAGTTTCCATGTTCTTTTTCAGTATCCCTATATAACCCGGTATAGCCCATACATTGACCATGTACTATCCATGTTGTTCATGTGGAAGGGCGTTTCTCTCAAGACTCGGCTTCCACCAGCCCCAGCAATGTTTTCTCCTCATCATGCAGAAGTGGCTCATGATTTTTCAGGGTGTAGGGTTTATGGTTCTCAGAAACACCCATACTCAGGATTGAGAATCTGGGGGCTTAGGCGCACGGGGCTTAGGTTCAGGGTTTGGGGCTTATTGGTTGGAGTTGTGTGCTGGCAAGTGCCACAAGGTTTGGCACCGCAACCAACAGCAAAACTAACCGCCACCACCACCACCACCAAAGCAGCAGCAACTTCCCCCTTCCCCTGCGTTCCTTCATTATTTCATCACATTCACCACCGTCACCACTGCAAACTCTTCACCATTTCGTCACGTCGCGACTGCATCATCGGCTATCTGCCCAGCACTGATATCGCAACAACAGGCTTACATTGTTTGTTGAACCCTCCAGTTGCGTGTTCAGGACTAGTCGCGTGTTCGTGCGCGACTGGAAGGGGTTTTATACATGCAAAGCTGCTGGCAGGCGCAATATTCTCAAGGCATTTTCTTGTAGAAAAGACTCAAAAGTACGAGTGGGGCCGTCATTTCGTGCATATGGCCATTTTCACACGGGAAGCAAGAGCATGTACGCCCAAAGGATAATAGAATCTATGTTGGACTGCATACGGGATAGAAATTCCCGCATCTGTTGGCCGCAGCTCTTGTGCTCCCGACACGAATTCATAGGCAGGTCAGTGCTTTCTGCACATTTGCATGAATCGGCGCGTGCGAACGCACGCCTGGGGCGTTCTTGATGGCGTGGTGCCCCATCACCAAGAAGCAGGCTGTGTGCGATTATTTGCTGGTGATCGCTCCCCTTGAGGATCCAGGATACTCACTACTTGGTCGAGCACCCGCTCAAGCATTCAATGAGAGCCACTGCTCGGAAGACCAAAGTTTGATCTGTGCCTGGTGTTCCCGATCAGATCGTGATGTCTGGTGAAGCATCAAGGACACTTGTTGGCCGTAACTGTCACACAAAGGAATTGATGCAACTTTAGTCTCAGCCGCCTGCTCAGGAACTGCGAGGGCCGAGTTCGCCTTCAGCGGCTGATCAGCCAGCTACAGGATGCGGTGAGTCAATTCCGGGAGGAAGTGGAGATCTTGGATGCAGGGCTCGCTGTGGGTCAGGGCCTCCTCCAGGGGGCTTCCCAAAGGCCTTGAAAAACCCGAAAATCGGCCCCACGCCTAGGGTCCAGGAATCTCGCCAGGGCCAGGGGAGCCAGATGGCTCAGACCCCACCCAAGACGGCAAGACGGATAAAACCGGGAACACGTTTTGCGCCGGATTGACCTAGGCTTTAGGGGTATAATACATAAAGTCAGGGACAATTTGCTGACTTGGCCTCAGTTTGCCTGGAAAACTGCTGCTCCTTCGCTGGGTCTCGCTGAGTGCTCGACCAGCGCCCGCCTACCCCAAAAGACTAAGCGTGGCGGGCGGGTTTCGGGTTTTAGGGCTTAGTGTCCAGGGTTCAGTTTAAGGTTGAGGGTTTAGCTTGCAGCCTTTGACTGCTGCTTTCAAGGAATGAAGGAATGCTACGATATCATTGCAGGTTGTAGGGGCTAGTCCAACCATCCACTCCTCCGTTCCCTACAGGCAACCGGTAAGCTCTGTAAGAGGAAAAATCATCCTCATCATCAACGTCCTTCTGCACATCATTGGGGTCCGCACTTACGCCCGTGACCTGGCCCTCTGACCTACCAGACCTAGCGGAGATAAATCTATGAGTCTTGAGCGCTTTTTAATACGCGTTCAGCCAGATCGACATCGTCAGGGTGCTTTTACTGCGTGAGCCAGAACGTACCCTCACGTCATCCTTAAATTTTGCTTGGATGCGGCTGGAGCACCTGGCCTCGCCTCACATGTCTCCCAAACTCGTTTCAAGCTTTTCGCTCATTCCCAGTCCCGCCCCCAACGTGTCGTAGAATTTCTTGGAAGCAGCAGGACGGCTAGAACCATGAAAGGGCTGAAGGGGAAGGTCCCCTCACGCAAACCCTATAATTGTTTTAGCGAGAAATACCCAGCCAGATCTGGTGGCAGCTCACATGGCCCGGAGCGAGATGAATCTATCAAGGGGCCCTTCAGCCCCGAGCCCTACATCCTGAGTTCTTCACCCTTCTCCCCCTCAGCCCCGAACCCTACATCCTGCGCTCCTCACCCTTTTCCCCCAATTCCAGGCCCGGAGTCCGACACCTACAACCCCTTGCACCCTAAATCCTACACCTTATAGGTGGAACCCCCACCCTGTAATAGCGGCATAATAGGAATATATAAGAGGCAATATTACCAGGTGGGGTCCACTCAATGTAGCCCTAAACCTTAAGCCCCAGATAGTAGCTTCCATTGTGTTTCCATTCTCTCTATAGAACCCTATATATATAAACCCTATATAAGCCTACACCCCAAACCCTTACTTCCCCTTCCTCAGGCCTTGGGAGGCGCAGAAGGAAAGAGGGCGCCCGGCGCTCGCAAGGTTTGGGTCGAAGCTTCTCCTGCTCCTTACAAGGTTTTGAGGTTTAGGGCTTAGGGCTGTTTAGGGTTTCGGGTGGGTTTAGGGGTTTGGTTTTGGCGGCTTAAGAAGGTTATAGGGACATATCAGGATCATATAGGTCATAATAAGGGGTCCTATCAATGGCGTATATGCAGGTCATGTAGGGTATATATAAGCTGATACGGGGACCTTCAGGGCTGATAACATGGTCCTGTAAAAGTGCGTGTATCTACACAGGTACATACATATAGAGGGGGCATGTAGGGTGTTTTAAGGGCTTGAGAGTTCGGATATTCCCGCAGTACCGGGGAATTGGAAAAACTATATCATCCCGGTGTCCACTTCATTTTCCATTTTATTTGCCATGTGATTCTCCATTTTGGTGGTGGTAGTATCCCGAAGTCCTGAATTCCTAAACCCTGAGCCCTGTATAGCCCCTTTAGTATCAATATAGAATCCCTTCAAAACTTGGGTATGGCTCCACTCTGGAACAGTTGGATAATAGTAATAAAGCAATGTATATGTATAGAGCCCTTAATATGACCCCTAGTATAGACTCTTACAGCGTGGGGGCCGCACGAAATATATAACCCTTAAAACCCCTAACCCCTAAACCTTCTACAGCCCCTATATATTATTCCCAAATATCCCCCTAAAAACCCCAAAGCCCTAAATCTCCCTTATATAACCCCTACAACACCTTTTCTGGCCCCTAAAACCGGGGCCTTCGAGCACGGCGAACGCGCCGAAGCTGGCGAGGCGAGTCCGCTCCGGAGCCAAAAACCCAACCCGTCAGGTCGCCCTAGAATAAGAAACTCAAAATTTTCGGGCTGCCCGCCGTCCTCCGAATCGTTTTTTTCTGGAGCCTTGGCAGCCTTGAGCCAGACCTAAATCCAAACCTTGCGCCCGCCTGGTCTTAAACAAGCCCAGGTGTTTTGGGGCTTGACGGCCTCCAGCCAAGGCTCCATCTCGAAAGTACACAAGAAGCCTCGAGCCACACCCAACCCCAAAAGTGCACCCGCCTGGTCTAGACAGGTCCACTCGTTCGGGATTTTCAAGCGTCCTGCCAAGGCTCCATTTGAAGAAAATTAGAGGCTTCGAGCCAGACCCAACTCCACGGGTCCAACTGGTTCAAGGCTTGTTGGCCTTCAGGCAAGAAGCCTCGAGCCAGACCTATCCCAAACCTTTGCGCCAGCCGGCTGTAGACAGATGCATAAAGCAAAAAAAGAAGACACGAGCGTGATCAGAGTTCGAGAGAACCCTAAACCTTTGAAAGGCTGAGGCGAGGGTGGAGCGCTGGCGGGGGTGGGCTCCTGCAAGTCGGGGTGCGTGCCTGGGTGCTTCTAGCACCAGCGCAACCCCTCACTGAGACACCCTAAGCCTTAAACTCTAAGCCCTAAACCTTGATCCTCATGTGCAGCCAGGGTTCTGGTCCCTTCTGGTTAGAGCTCGGGGGCTCTGCAGTTCGGCAGGACCAGGGGGGAGGGGGGGAAGGGTTTAGGGTTTAGGGTAGTTTAGGATTTAGGGGTTTAGGGTGTAGGGTGTTTGGGGTTTAGGGTTACAGGGTGCTAGGGTGCTACCCTCTTCAGCTTCCCTAACTAGCCTGAATTCACCCTAAAACCTAAACCTTGAACCCTGATTATCTTTAAATGACCCCGATGGAGGGGGGAATGAATGCGAACAACGTTTTAGGGGTAGGGGCGAAGGAGGTACAAGGGTTAGGGGCTTGGGAGTTCAGGTTGGGGCTCTATGGAGTTCAGGTTTTAAAGGGATCATGAGTAGTTATCGGTTGGGTTGGCAGGACCCTATGAGAGTGTAGCTGATGCCACCTGGAATTGAGTACCCTTGAACCATTTTACACGCTTTGGGAGCGTGTTAGTTTAATCATTTCTAAGCAACATGTACAGCAAAAAGAGTTCAAAGGGATCGGGGCTTTACAGGGTCAACGGGGCTGTAGAACTCACGTAGAGGAATTGGGTGTTATAGGGGGTTTATCGAGCATTTCGGATTTGCTTGCCGGGGGTTCCCAGCGAGCCTGCTTGCCCCTATACATATCCCGTCTAGGGCTTGGGGCAGAGTGTTGGAGTAGCTAGGTCCTTCGAGAGAAACACCTATCTGCAGAAACCATACTTCATAGGTTGCCTACCACCACCCCCGCCTTACCCCCTGCAGGTTCCTTATTTCAGCTCATTTGGGGATGACGGGCGTTAATTAAGGCTACTTAATTAAGGGGAAACCTTGGGGGGTAGAATGGGCGGAGTACTAAGGGAACTCACGTCAGGCAAGCAAGCTGCTGCGGGCTTGACATGAGCGGATTTGGATGCAGCGTTTGGCTGCAGGGTGTTATCGTGTTCATTGGGATCTTGATTCTTAAAATCAGTACCGAACTGAACTAGAGCCCCATTGCCTACCCCTATTGCGAGTTTTGATGACGTACCATGCTCAGTTCGCGCAGTGAATCCCCACCATTGCTATGTCGCCCGTACAGCGATTCACAAATTTCACCGAAGCCCCTAACCGATGAACCCCAAGCACTGGCACTTTGACTCTGCAGACGTTCCCGGACAACCTTCGCATCATCGAGGCAGCGACAGGGGTTACACTTACACGGGATGATCAGCCTTCACTTCCAAGGAATAATCGTGAATGCCACTGACGGGCCTTGGACCCTAGTGCTTTTGTCAGGGCTCGGATTTAGGGTTTAGGGTTGTGAGCATTTATCAACACTGGGATTCCTCTTTGACCGCAAAATGGATGGGCCCTCCGCATGCAGTCGAGATGCTCATACCCAAGCAACTAAAATTTTGATATGGTAGAAGACCAATATGATGGTCCCTTTGAATAGGGTTTAGGGGTTCAGGGGAATCCTGGAGAATCAAGCTCAAAAGAAAATGGAAAATGAAATGGAAGCTGGGGTTATTTAGGGGATCATAGTTTATAGGGATAATTACCTATATTATGGTCCTAGGTCCCTTGTGCAGCTATGGTAAAGTTCACCGCAAACTGACCTCAAGGGATATCAGTAATCATATAGGCCACTACAGTACCCTCAGCCTCTGAGCCTTAAGACCGTAAGACAGAAAACTTTAGGGTTCAGGGTGTTTAGGGCTTATGGTTTTTCAGTGCTAAGCCCTACATGAATGACTGGCTCTCTTATCGTGCCGGAGCCTAGATCAGGCCGAGATGAATCTACCCAGTCATAAACAAAACCCTTGTAAAACGAGGGCCACCATCCAGAAAAACTTGAATTGTACTCAGCTGTTCATAAGTAATTTACCCAGCTGCCCCTGACGAACCCCCAGTTTCATTTAGAACTGGGGCTCAACCCTAAACCCCAAAATTGCGTTTTTCATTTGTGGTTCTAGGGTCAGTGCTTCGAGGGCTTCACCACAAGGGCCCTAGCATGGTAGCTAGAACAGGGTGTTGGGTTTAGGGTTTAAGGCGTCTGAAATGGGACGGGACATGCCCTTGCACTTCCGTTCGGAGTCTAAGTGTTCCAACCACATAGTTCAGGGTTTAATGTGTAGGGCTGTTGCATTTTGAGCTTGGGTAAAGCACTGTGGGATTCTATGGTGAATCAAGGCTATGTTTGACAACTTTAGCAGCCAATGCTCGTGTGCAGGGATCAGTGGATGGGCTTCTGGTCGGACGAGCGCACCAGCAGTCGCTCTTCCAGGAGGCAGCAAGCACCATACTGGGTGGGATAATGGAAGAGAAAATGGAAACTACTAGGTCCCTTTAAAGGGGATATATAGGGTTTAGGGTTTAGGGTATATTTTGGGGTTATATCATGACTGGTGAAGTTTTCAGTTCTTCTCCAACATGCATCATGTATCACCTTTCACGTGTCTAAACCCTAAACCTCAAACCCTTTCATGGGCCTCAAACTATGTAAGGGTCCCGAAGCTGAAGTGGCCCTGAGCGATTCGTGCCCCATGATGTGCGACGCTTGAAGGTGTTTGTCCCATATTAGGGGTTGCCCATACTACGGATTCCTTTATCTATAAGGAGACTCCAACTCTGAGAAACATCCTCATGGAACATAGTCCCCCCTAGGTAGATAGAATTTTGCTGTGGTATATCATAGTCAGATCCCCATATACCCCATATTCTATCTAGTTGAGGGGACTTTAAAGGGGTCTGGGGTTTAAGGGTTTGATTGCAAGTACGTTTATGAAGTCGCATGTAAGAACGAACCACCACAGCCCATTGCAATTCTTGTTAGTGTAAGGGTTAGGGTTTAGGGTTGAGGGCTTCTGCATAGCCTCAAAGCGTATCTCCCCATCTTCCTGGGAATAATTACCAATATCCCCCCCCCCATGAACCTAAATCCTGAACCTTAGACCCTGAACCCTAACCTAAATCCTGAAACCTAAACCTTACACACTGAACCCGAAACCTACCCCCTTTCTCAGGACAGCCACTCCTCACTGGAGACTACTTGATTTTAGGGGGGCTGAGGGATGCCTCAAGAGGGGGTTTAAGGTTTAGTTGGTGGCTCAAGTTTCGGCTCAAGCTGGATGGAAAGGGGTAGCGGTAGTGTTACAACCTTGGTAGAGCGTAGCAACTCCCACTTTTGGTTGTGGTGTGCTGTGGTTGAGGACCTACAGGCTTACTTGATTTTGATCGAGGAGCCGGCCCAAAGCACCACAGTAAGAGTGCTTGCGTCTGTGTGGCGCCTCCTGCCATCAAACCGGTTGCAACGCATCCGCTACCACATCCATTGCTTGCCTTAACCTAACCCTCGCCTTGAGCTGAGGTAAAGCTCAACCTCTCCAGAAGGATCGAGGGCACAGCGCTCTCAACTCCTTCTCGCCGCAAGGCTGAGCTCTTACCCAGCCAGGGTTAAAGGGTTCAACACCCCCCATATTCTAGCCACGCCCCCTTTAGCGGTCGTTTCCCTTTGAATCTAGATTTTGGAATTATACCAGGACCAGTTGATTAGTGAGGGGTACAGAAAGCCAGCGGTGGCACAACAACGTGCGGCGCTTAGCCGCCAGCTTAACCAGCTGGACACCTACAACGACCTAAGTGGTAAAGGGTTAACAATCCTCGTGGAACCTTTCAAAGGCAGGCTCTGCCAAACTATCCTCAAAGAGCTCCCTGAGGAGTCGGGCTCGGAGGAACCAAGCAGCTCAGGACTAAGACGAGGTCAGATCTCGCCTTAGGGCTGAGGCCATGCCGAGGTACTTGACATGTGAGACATGCGGGCCGGCCTCCTGGGTCAGGACAGACAAGGTCTGGCAGAGGCCTGTGTGCCTGTGGTGTGGAAGCGCCTGGCCCAAGAGACAGGTTCAGTTTCAGCAGGGGCAGCAGGCGGAAGCATGGGAGTCCTGGACCCAATGGCCGCAGCAAAGCCAGCAGGAAGCTGCATGACACAAAGCCTAGCCGGCCAAAAAGGGCCAGGATTCCGGCGCCCTTGCGCAAGGCCCTCGAGGCCATGTGGCCAGCCATGCCGGACAAGGCCAAGAAGGCCCTGGAAGAGGCGGGGTATCAACCTCCGGAGCCCGCCGCAGAGGAAAAGGACCTGGTTGAGCTGCTGCGAACTTTTGAGGATAAACTGCCCTCAGAGGTGATAGCGGCCCTTCCATCGAAGCCGACACTTGGCCCAATTGAGGAGGGCAGGGAGGTAGCAGACAAGTATGCAGAAGCGGTCCGAGAGCTTCGCATACTGGGGAGAGAAAAGCTTGACTTGCAGTCCCGCATCGACGCCAGCAAGGCTCCAGCTAAAGAAGATGCAGCAGATCCAGGATGACATCCGCAAGGCCCAGGACAAAGTCAATCAGGAAACCTTGGTCTATCAACAAAAGGTCCTGGACCAGACGAAAGATCCAGACCCGGTTGACCTCGTCCTGAAGGCACTGGGCATGACAGGGGGGTTAACGGACTCGCAGCTCACTGATGAGCAAAAGCGCAGACTTGAAGAGATCAGAGGAGGCCAAACGCAGGCGGGTCCTGGTAGAGTCCCCGCCTGGACTTGGTCTGCAATCGGGTGATATTGAAGTCCAGCCACCGGGCTTGGGAGATCTGAAGGCCAAGCCGGGCCAGCCTGAAGGCGTGGGCCAGCCTGAAGGCGCGGGAGCTAAGGCCAGGGACACACGTAGCAGGTCTCCCAAAAAGTAGGAAAACTAGGAGGCACCCCAATTTTGGGCTCCGTTAGAATCTCCTTGTGGGATGCTTTAAATGGAGTAGGGGAGTGCCCTGAGCCTGTCAACACAATTTCTTGTCTAGTTTGCGTGGCACAGCTACAGGATGGACCAGATAAACATCTGGGTGTATGTAGCAGCTGTTTAAGCCCAGGGCCGATGCGCCATTGGGCAACCCACCTCGCCTTAGGGATTGAGGTTCAAAAGGAGGCACAGTCCCCCACAGCACGTGTAATTTTCCAACAGCCATTTGAAGCTCAATGCGCCGCAGAGGCATCGCCTTTGCATAAAAATTTTCTTCAGCCCTTCGAAGCCCAAAATTTAGTAGGGGCTTCATCGTCCACAGCTGTAATTTTCCGACAGCCATATGAAGCTCAATGCGCCGCAGAGGTCGTGCCGGAGGCGCAGTCAAATTTTCCACAGCAGGATCAGTGTGCCGTAGAGGCTTTGTCGCCCACAGCACGGAAAATTTTCCGACAGCCATATGAAGCTCAATGCGCCGCAGAGGTAAGTCGTTTTCCGCTAGGTCTGCAGAGCAGTTCGGGGCGGGGGTTTCAGGCAGTCACTCTCCTATGGAGTCTTTTAAGGGTCTGCGGGAGGATTCCCAACGCACAGCAGGTAAGACGTTTCTCTCTCCGGTGAGGTGGGGGGGGAGTCCGTGCTCTCAGCAGATCTCGCCTTCAGGGCTGAGCAACCAATCTCAACTCTCCGGTGGCCTGGGCCCTGCAAGGGCAAGTTTTGAGGAAGCAATTGCCACTTGAGCTGCAACCGACATCGTGGTCAGCCATGGCTGGCCTCTGTGCTCGCAAGATCATCAACCCTGGCTGGGACCATGAAAGCCTTCTGATAGGTATGGTTGAAGAGTTAGAGGTAATTAGCCAGAAAACACCTTGTCCAGTTGGATTATGGAAAAAGCTTGTGATGCCACGACCATGGAAGATTCCAGTCCCGAGACTTGGTTCCGGATCCTGAGGGCTGCCGAGGACGTTGCACTATCGACTCAAAAGACTTCGAAACCCCGCCATTTCAAAATCCTTTGTGCCAATGTCAGCTCCTGGAGGTCAGAACACAGACAATGGCTGGTAGATGAGGGCCCTGATGTGGCCTTAGTGCAGGAGATGCACTGGCATGAGGAAGCCCTGAATAGGGAAACCATTGCAATGGCAAATTTGGGCTACGAAGTGCATTCTCAGGCAAGCCCGTCAAGGAAGCAGCCAGTGGGGGGTTGTGCGGTGTTTGTCAAAACTCACTTGAAAGGCGCCTCCCTTCACAGGTTCCAGGACCCCACCACGGGATGTGGTTTCGAGGCCGTGATGGTTCGATTTGCGGGAACCAACGTGGCATGCATATCGTTGTACTTGCAATCGAGCCATTTCATTGATGGCGTGGCAAATGCTAAAGTTTTAGCGGAGCTGAAAAGCTTTATCGCAGCGCTGCGATGCCCATGGTTTGTAGCAGGGGATTGGAACTCCCATCTTCCGGAAGTTTTAGGTACGCGGCTGAACGAGGTCCTCAAAGGCCAGTTCTTGGGTACGGGCCATGGCACCGCGGGAGGTTCAAATGAGTTGGACTATGCGCTCATACATCCTTCCCTGCATCGGTTTGTCCGTGTAAGGCCTGACTGGGCGGTTCCTTTCAAGGTTGACTGTGCATTGCACTTTACTTGGCAAGTTGAAGCCATTAAAGATCTCGTCCCAGGACTGAGGGTCTGTATGGAAGACTTTGATCAAATCACCCAGGAGGAAAGACTTGGTCAAGTCCAGCCAGTCTGGCCTGGCAAAGCTCACATTCTTGAGTTTCAGGCTGATGACCCTGTCTCAGTCCAGTGTGCGGTCTTCTCAGCCACAGCTGAGTCCACAGGGGCACTAGGCAGCAGCCGAGGCAGAGGTTTTCAGTGCCAGGTGCGGAGATCGGCGCCCCTGGGGACCCCAGTGAGGACTTGCCTGTGGTACGGCAAAGTTCATGCTTTCTGGGCCAGATGGGAATCCTGGCTTTGTGCGCAACACTTGCCTCCGCAACAAGTTCTGCTCCATTCCTTAGAGCAATGTCCTGATGCGGCCTGGAGCCAGCGGTGTCAAACCTGGTTGCAAAGCCCGCGGGGAGCAGAAGATCTCAAAGAGGCCTTGCTCCAGCAAGCGACCCAAGCTGCAAGGGAAGCCAAAAAGACTCAGTCAACCAAGGAAAAAGAAGACTTCCTGGGCTGGATCGTTGGCGCTGAAAATGCTCATCTGGGACCGGTCTATAAGGCCATCAAAGGCCCTGAGCAAACCACCTTGCGTCCATATCGGGATAAAAGTCTTTTGTGTCGGGCCTACCTTCGCATGGAGTTTTGGTCCCATATTTGGGATGGCACGTTGATAAGGTCTCAGGTGGAACCCACGGCCACCAGAACTCGCCTGAAGGCTGAGGCCCGCACACAAGCGAGCACGCTTCCGCCGTTACAGTGGGAAGATGTGAAGGCAGCGTGCCACAAAACTGGCAAAAAAAAAAAAAGGAGGCATAGACTGCTGGTCCTACAAGGCGGTCAGGAACCTTACCGACCAGGGCTATCAGATGCTGACTGACCTGTTTCATGAAATGGAGGGCCAGGTCAGCATTCCATTTCAGCTGCAGGTAGTTCAGGTTGCCCTCCTGCCCAAGAATGAACTCAAAGAAAGACCGATCTCCCTCACATCGGTACTTTGGCGCATTTGGACAAAATTGAGAAGGTCGAGCCTCCCCGTCTGGCTGGAGGAGGTCAAGCCAGAGATCGGCGTGAGACACCCCCGGCTTGGCCATGATAGTCTTCAACGGCTTATAGGTTGTTAGTTTCGCCAAGGTCGGCGCACACGGACAGCCTTGCAACATGCCCTTTCTGGGCCATATTGATGGGGAGGCCACGCCCTCCCCATATAAGCACCTAGGTCCTTCATATAGTTGTATAGCCAGCTCCAAGATAAGGCTAGGGAAGCCCAGAAGCATTCCCTGCTGGGCAAGGCGCTCATGGCTAACAACATCATAGAACCCTTCAAGGTCACAAAACAAAGTGATGAAGGTTTGGCCCCTGAACTTATGATCCTCAGCCCTGATCAGGCGAGCTAAGGCTGGGTCCAGACTGGTGTGGCCCGGCACAGCCGAGTCGAACCCCGATGTACGGCTGTAGACATCAGCATTGATATTGCCCACCAGGATGCTGACATCGCGGCTTCACTGAGTGTTGATGTGTACAGGTCTCTCAAGCGTTTACTGCATGAGGAGGGCTTGGAGCTCAATATGGGCAAGACCAAATTCGTGGTCAATAATGCTAAATCCCGTAAGGCACTCCGTGCAATGGCTGGCCCAGGCATGCCGGAGGTGGCGGAGTTGGTCAAGGATTTAGGGCTCGACTCTGCAGGAGCCAAACGCCGCAGGGTCACCACTGCCCTGAAAAGGTTCAAGATATGCCTCTCCAGGCATTCCAAGCTCAGGAACCTTAAGCTGAGCAGGCGCCTCAGAACCAGGGTTTTCAACGCCTCCCCCCTTGCTGCAGGCCTGTGTGGCCACCAGGGTCAAGGGGTTGCACCCAAACGCTTGAAGGTTGTAAGAGCGGCTTTGGCCCGCCACGCAGGGAGAAGCCAACTTGGCTCTACAGACGTCATTCTAGATCTAATGTCCCATCAGGTACAAGACCCCCTGCTAAAAGTGGTACTCGAGCAGGCAGATGCCCTTTTCAGGGCTTTTGTCAACGTCTCGCCTCAGGGCTCGAGAATTCTTCAACGCACGTGGCGAGTGGCTTGGCAGAGACAATCCCGAGCCATTCACGGATGGAAGACAGTTGCCGGCCCAGTGGCGGCTATGTGCCAATACCGTCTGGACTTGGGAATAGACGCGGCGGACCCACTTCTGTGGAAATATAAGGGCAGACAGCTCAGGATCGACCTAGGCAATCCCACTTGCTCGCATAGGATCCAAGGTTTCCTCCGCGTAGCGGTTGAGGAATTCAGAGCTGACAGGATAGGCAAGGTTGCCACAGCTGAAGGTGCAGGAGAAGGAGTGGATTGGACGATCCCCCGCCGCCTTCTTCGATCCCCCGACACGCCTACAGGGCAGTCTGGCAGGGCCAGGTCTTGCACAATGGCAACGGGGGGGCGGCCACATGCAAGTGTGGGGCGCCACGCACCTTGCAGCATGTTATGTATGAGTGCCCCAGGTCCAGGAGATACCGGCTCAGCCAGGCCGCAATAACCTTCCGTGGAAGGTTTCCGCGTCAATGCTTCTGGCTACGGGGCATGGTTCCGTCCGGGTGGACGCGACTCGCCTATAAGGCTGAGAAGCGCCAGACCGAGAAAACTGGCGTTTTTCTGGAAGGCGAGCCAGACGTGTCCAGCCTGGTAGTAGGAACTGATGCAAGCGGTGGCCCACGGACCAAGGATCCACGCCTTAGGGCAGTGGGATGGGCGGTGGTTGGGAGACGGAAGGGCAAAGAGGTGGAAATTCTAGGCACCACCTCTGGCGTGCGGCCATACGCCATACTTCGGGGATCCTTGACCTCACTACGGACTGCAAGGGTGCCCTCAAAACCCTACAGGCTAGACATCCGCACAAGACTGTCATGCCAGAATGGGGGGATGTGTGGCAACAGCGGGGCCGAGTCCGAGCAACCTGGGTCAGGGCACACAAAGAAGCAGCCGACACTATCTCGCCCTGAGGGCTGAGGAACAGCTGCAAAATGAAGAGAACCAGTTTGTCCCAAAATCGGTTAGGGACACAATGTCTCAATTTGATAAGAAGCAGCAGAAGCCTCATGCAAAGGCCCTCTATGCCAACCAGAGGGATAGGCTGAAGCAAATGGTGCTTGACTCCAGCGTGGGACATGTGTGGCAGTACACTCGTGGGGAAAAAGCCACTAACTTGCAGCTGAAGTGTGCGGTCTGTGACCTTTGGATTCAACAGGGTGCGGGGTTAGTTTTGGCCCGTCCTCGGCCAAGGAGCCCAGTAAGGCGACCAAGCCTTGTCCTAGGGGCCGAATTGGGGTCACCGCAATTAGCTTTGCGAAGGCCTCGTCAGCTAGGACAGAGGCCCCATCAGGCTCAGAACAACCCTCGCCCACCGGAACTAAGGTCCAGGAGACTCTTAAAGTCCCTCCTAAAGCCCAAACAAGGCCCACTCTAGGAGTCAAGCAAGTAAAACTCAAGGCACAGCCCAAACCAACCTCGTCACTTTGTTAGGCTCCGAACAGAGACAGGCCCCACAGACTCCTAAAGTCCCCCCTCAAGGCCCAGCGAAACTCCTCTCAAGACTCAAGCAAGCTAAAGCGCTACCTGAGAAGCCCTCGTCACCTGTGACTGAGGCCCCGTCAGGTTCCGAGCAGAGATCTCCAGTTGAGCCTAATCCTCCTTTTGTTAAGGCTAAATCTAAGAAGCAAACTACTCTTTCTTTTGCAGCACGTGGCTCAAATGGCGCCTAAGCAGGAAGGTAGATTGGTGGAGGACCAGCGGAGGAGGGAGGAGGCAGGGCTGACGTGGAAGTCAGCCAGTACGCTGGAGAGACAAAGAAAGCGCGCGTGTGGGACCGCAAAAGGACAAGGGCAAAGCAAAAGGCCCAGCCAAAGGTAAGGGCAAGGAAGGCCCCGCCAAGGGCAAAGGCCCAAAGGGTTCCGGCAAGGGCCCTGAGGCAGGCAAGGGCTCTGAGGAACACGGCCATCCAGCGCCCCGTGTGCCGCCAGCGCCTCCTCCCCCCGCCTTGCAAGAGGCCGGCCGGAGGTGAAGCCCGAGAGTGCGGAGGAGGACCGAGGTGATCCGCCTGCCGAGAATATCCAGGCAGAGGGAGGTGTCAGTGGCTGCGGGTCTGAAATGACTGAGAGGGCAGATGTGCCCATGGAGGACACTCAGGCCTCCCGTCAGCAGGCTGACAGCGCGAAGACCTCGCCTTCGGGATTGAGGACAGCAGTGGATACCAAAGAGGAGGCCACCAGCTCATCCTCGCATTCCAGCAGTGAGGCTACAGCGCAGCAGCCAAACCGGTGACTGGGCCTTCTCCAGAGCCGAAGGAACCCCCCCCAACCCGTGCTTCCTCAGACTCCAGCAGTGAGACCTCAGAGCAGCAGGCAGTAGGTGAGGGGACTTCCACCCTAAGGGTGAGAATCCCATACCTGGGTAGTGCCTCGTCCCAGGACTGAGTTACAAGCTAGGCACTACCTCGCCCAAAGAGGCATGAGGGTAAAATGGTGGCTCGGCCACCCTTTCGACCTCCCCAGGGAGAAGATCAGCAAACGCTGATTAATTAATGCATGCGGACTAACTAAGGCCTTCGGCCGCGTCTAGTGCGCTCGGGAAGGTTTAGTTGGTAATTCCTCCTAGGGGCTGAGGGTTTAGGGTTTTTTTGGTTCCCGTGGCTTTTAACAGGGATTACATAGGCGGTTACACAGGGGTTACGTAGGGGCGTTCCAAAATTCAGGAAGACAATATAGACTCAAGACCTGATGATCCTGACTATGACCCCCCGCCCCCCACCACCCCACAAAATCACATACACATATATATATATAGTAATAATAATACATCTGTAGGCCCTCTAACAGCTATAGGCTATAGCACAGTATGCCTCCAGAACGTCGTTCAAATTATTCAGGCCGTGCTTACCATCCGTGTAAACCCAATACATGGAAGGTAGAAAGTTCAAGCTGATTCTCCGATATTCTATCCGTAAACCCCTTCTGCTATATGTGGGCCTAGAGGTTTAGGTTTCTGGTCTCCCTTAAGTAGATAGAATACGGAATTGCCCAATTTCATCACCAGATCCCCATGCATCGCATATTCTCTCTACTGAAAGGGGACTATACGGTAATCTTTGAACCCTAAACCCTTGGGGGGGGGCTGTAGGGGTTTAGGTTTAAGTCTGGGAGTATCGTGTAGGGCCCCAACGCATGCAAACTGCGGCAGAAACTTGGCAAACCTAAAAGCTTTAGACCTCCAACGCACTGAGACTTGAATTAGGGTTTAGGATTTATGGTGTAGGGTCCTTGAAGCCTCAAGCCTCGCAAAAAAAACAATTGATGCTTCAAATCCCAACCTTCAACTTGCAGGTACTGAGCGGTGAAAGGAGGAATGGATCACTGTTGTAGTATATATACAGTTACATACATGCCCTTGTAGTAGCATAATCCCTTATTCCCTGCTACATACCTGGAAATAAAACTCGCTGACCCCCTAACCCGTAACCCTAACCCCCGACCATCTTCAAGTTGCTCATGGCAGCGTTGGCCCGACAGGCCTTTCGGAAGGAGGTGCGCGAGTACCTGAGCCAGAGACCTACTTCTAGAGTGCAGTAGTATAAAGGGTTTAGGGTTTAGGGTTTAGTGGTTGTGAGGCTTGGGTTGAAGGGCTTTGAGGTGTAGGAATAAGGGTTCTGGAGTTTACTGGGTTGATGTTAAGGGATTTAATTTAAGTTGCTACCTTGGGGAAACCATTTTCTTTACTACATATACAATTTGTTTAACTCAAAATAAGCTCCTTAATAGCAACCCAGTTTGGGGTGCAATTCGAAGTTCTGCGCTTTAGAGTTCCCAGGGCTTTGGGTCTTCGGTTTTGGGGCGCAGGCTTGACGAGCTTGGGATTCCGGCATCGTGCAGGGACTTTGAGGGTATCATGGATAGTTTAGGTTTTAGGGTTTAGGTAGGAGATAAGTCACACTGTAATATCTGATGCTTCAGAAGTCAAGATGCAAGTCTGGGGTCCGTCGTGACTACGATTACTATTATTTCTTCCATTCTTACTAGTACAATTATCGTAATTCTACTTGTTTTTACTATTGCTACTACTGTTTCTGTTACGAGTACTTAGTAGTCTAGTTGGGTGGTGGTGGCAATGCGGACCTTTGCTATGGGATGTGATGACTCAAACGCTGGTTCCCCCTTAATTAACCGTACTTAGGCTTCATTATTCCTAAATAATTAACCTTAATTCTGGGGGGAACCTGGGGGGGTAGTAGGGGAAGCCGTCCCTAAACCCTAAACCCTAAACCATAAACCCTAAACCCTAAACTAAATGGCCTCGAGCTCATCTGGGCAGCTGTCAAGGAACTTGATTTAATTGGGTTTAGGGCTATCTTGTAATATATTATAGTACAAGGATTATAAGGTTATAGGTATTTAGGGGGTTCAGGTGTATAATGGAGAAGCAAATGAAAAAGAACATGGAAAATGAAATGGAAACCGGGGGAACATAGGGATTTACGGAACTTCATTTAACTTACTTTATTCGGGGAAATTGTATTAATTACTATTTTTACCCATTATGCAAACTTAAATTAATTTCACTTACTATATGGGGAAACTGTATTAATCATATATTTATACCCATTGTGGTAACTTAGTTTAAGTTCCGGAACAGCAGCTCACTCTTTTTCCTTATTGGATCTTATTGGCACAGATTGTCCCAAGATCGCCTGGTGTGCTCCAAGCAGTCCATGAACCTTAAACCTTAAACCCTAAGTCACAAAACCCTGAACCCTAAACTCTACACCCTTGCTGTTTTGAGAAGCATCTCTAGCGAGTATGTTGATGCAGGTTGGCATTAATGATGCTATGCGGAGGATTTGGAGCAACGAGACCTTTTACCGGCAAGATTTTGGGTGATGCGTTGGGATGCAGGCGCCCCGAAAGTGCTAGTTTTCTTGAGAACAGTAGCAGTCTCCCAATTTTCTGAGACCATGGGCTTGCCAGAGGTCCCAAGGGCTAGGCTGGAAAGACAGGCTTTCAGATTATAGTAGTTTCCATTTTATTTTCAATTATCCTAACATATCCCATAAACCCTAAACCTCTTTATAGTAGTTTCCATTTTATTTTCCATAATCCTAAGAGGTGTAGAGATTAGAAGCTCAGGGTCCGGGCTGACTGTCCGCAAGGTGCATCTTACCAGGCAAGAGCGCATTTCGACTTCAAATGTGGCAGGCGTTCGTGCCTGGTGCAAGATACCCGCAGCATTGAAAAGAAGAACCCAGAAGCAGGTTGGTGGCGGGGGACATGTCTGAAGTGGTGGTGACGGTGGCGGGGTGGCAAAGGAGAACATGATGCTGATGAAGGAGATGCTGTTCTGACAAGGCTGCTGTTTGAGGCTGGTGGTGATAAAGCTTAAAGAAATGATGGTTTCCCCCAAATTAGGTCCCCCTATCGAGGGAAACTAACCAATGATGAATTGTAAGCCGGGCGCGGGGTTTCATTGTCAGACGGAGGTGATTAAACTGCTAGACTAAAGAGGCCTCAACTCCATGCGGGTTGTTGCTTAGAAAAGCGGTACGTTCCAAAGAATTGACGCTGCCTCTGCAACAAGAGCTCGGTGTTGAGATCGAGCCCAAAGGCAAATGACACACCCCAAGGCCCTTCATTCACATGTTTTGTTTCCATTCCAGCTTCAGGCGCAGGACCACTATCAGCAGGTTTTTTCTGGGTAATTAGCAGCCCGCCTTCATAACTTAAATCAAACTTGATATGGCGTGCCTCGAAGCCCCAAGCTGTCTCCTTCTCTATCTATCTATCTATCTATCTATCTATCTCTCCCTGCCTCTTCCTCTTTTTGACTTGTTCACTTCGAAATTTTGCTTTTGCCGATGTCAACTTTAGCTCCAAGGTCGAGATCACTTCCGCATTGACCGCGACAGAGCGGGCCAGTTCAATCTTGCAAAGCTGGCATGGCGGGTGTACCATCCACTTTACACTTAAAGGTTAGCACTGCTGGTGCAGGATGGGTGGTCAACATCGCTGAAACATACCTCCAGACCCTGCTTCCCGTTTTCTGCTCATGCTTATCTTGACGGATTACACACCTGCTGTCCACTTCAAGCTTCAAAGGGCTGCAAAACGTTGAGTCCGTGATATGAGGTTGTGCCATTTCATTTAGTCTCTTGAGAAATCCATGTACTTCCTCAAGAAACAGAAACGCACGCTGTGGGGCTGTCATTTTCGCCGTACAGGGTTCTTGGGTTGTTCAGATATGTTGCTATCGACGAAAAGGCATCCGCCTGTTTGAAAACACATTTGCTCTAAATGCAAAGCCTACTCTCAAGCTGGGTTGGTGTTAAGGAACTTGGACTAAGCCACTGTGATGAGGCAACCCTATTATTTACCACATACCTATAGTATGGTGACTTAATTTAGGTTCCTGAACTGCAACCCAGCAAGAGGAAATCAGCTTACAGCTGCTTCGGAGTAGTTCCCTCAACTGAAAACCTTTCTAGTCTTGAGCTTTGCCAATGGGAATGAACCTCCCATACCCTGACTTCTCAAGGGTTTTAGGGTTTAGGGGGGCCTGCAAGACTACAGTGATTGCAACACGAAGATGCGGAGTTCCAAGTGATTCTGGGGCAGGGTAAGCAAATGCAGCGTCACTAGACAGGATCCTGAGTGAGAGGGCTTTGGTAACCCCAAAAACGAGGACGATCCAACCATCATATGATGGTAACAGGGTCCTAACTTTGGGGGTGGGGGTTACCAAAAGGATCTTATCACCTAAGCCCTAAACCGGATATTTTCCTGCAAGCTTCCAGTTTGCGCGTCTCTGCCCATGAATCATGGGCTTGCCAGGTGGCCCTGAGCGCCAACCCCATCTGGCGCATGCGCCAACGCCAGCTGCGCGAGCTGGAACGAGGTTGCGCTTGCGGGCTAACCTGGAACGCCTGGTTGCGCTTAAAAATGGCTTTCAGGAAGCCCTAAACCCTAATTAAGGGTTAGGGTTGGGTTTTAGGGTTTAGGGTTTTAGAGTTTAACGGTTTGGCGTTCAGGGTACCCAACATGGTGGGAAAAATGGAAAGCAGACCAGAATTATAGGCTACTGGCTTTCCAGGTATGGTTTGGAATCTAGGGTTTAGGGCTTTGGGCTTCGAGATTCAGGATTTAGTGTTTTGGAATTCGAGGTTTGCGGGCCAGACAACTGAGCCTCCCGCGATGAATGGAGCGGTGAAAGACGAAGCTGCTTGACGATCCGTAGCGGCCACGAACCTCCAGAATTTGGGCAGCTGTTAGGGAACATAAGTTAATTTATCGTACTAAGGGAAGCATATACGTTGTTACATATACTCTTTCCTGGTAACTTAAAATAAGGAACAGCCGAGGAACATGAGGAACGTAAGTTTAGATATCAGGGCAAGATTCGTGACACGGCATTGCCACGGCCTCCACTGAAGAAAGCCGTGATGTAAGACTCTCCCTCTCTTTCAAAGACTTATACAGGATTGCCAGGAAGTATATGAGCTATAGTCTAAACTCCTTAAAGGGGTTTAATAGGGGATTATATAGGGGGCTACTATAGGGGTTATTAAGGGGGATACTAGGAGTTTAGACAATGGTTCATATGGGGGCACGCACCAGCTGGAGCCTTCGAAGTCTAAGCAATAAACCGCTTGAGGCTTGTCAGGTGGTACACTTTTTTTATTAGGGCTATATAGCGTTATATAGGGCTATATAGGGCTATATAGGGTTATATAGGATTATATAGGGGGATATAGGGTTATATAGGGTTATATAGGGCTATTTAGGGTTATATAGGTTTATATAGGGTTATATAGGGTTATACAGGGCTATATAGGGCTATATAGGGCTATATAGGGTTATATAGGGTTATATAGGGCTATAGAGGATCTAGTTTTGTGCCTTTTCGGGGCGGCTGTATTCATGGCGGCGTATGCGTGTGAACTCCAGGCTCGAGAAAAGCCCCACAACCCTTTAAACACCTGTAAATTAAGCCGAAAAAAGGTACAGACTTTGTTGATTCCACGGGAGATCTGTCGGCTCTATTCTAAGAATCTCTCAGTCATTGTACCATCGCCAAAACACAAGTGGAAAAGCATACTGGGCTCCATGAAAACTGATGAGCTCAGGGCTTAGGGTTCAGCCCTCAGCCCAGACGTTACGCCG